TGAGTCAATTTCAACTCATAGTGACCCCAATGCGACCGAGTAGAACTGCCCCATAGGGCTTCCTAGGTTGTAATCTTTATGGGAGCAGATCACCAGGTCTGTCTTCCATCGAACCACTTACCTTTCAATTAACAGCCAAATGCTTAACCATTTGCACCATCAGGGCTAGTTTATATGTGTATATATATATATGAATCCTTGAATTCGTAGCCACAGATATATATATCTGCATTGCTTGTAGGCAAACATGCTTTTCTTTTGTCTTCCAATTAGTTCAAAGGAGAAGGAAGCCACGGTGTCATCCTGTTTCTTTACAGCCTCCTCTTCTCCAGGACATTTGAAAGGTAAATTCTACAAATGTTTGCTCACATATTTCCTATAAGGTCTGGGATCACATATACAATGTACTCTTGTGTTGGGAAAATATTTTTATCCCACATTAGAAACACGTACAAATTTTTTCTAATAGACTGTCTTCTGTCAATATGCCCCTTTCTATAGTTGATATGGTGACGTTAATGGGGAAGTGGACTTCATCAGGCAAGTTTGAATCTGCTTCACTAATACAGTAGTAGGATCCTTCTTCTTGTGGTTTAAGTATTGGTAGATGACACCAAAGCTTATTTGAACAATCTGCATAAATATATACTTATTATCATTATTCACAAATATTTAGTCTCTATGACGTGAACAACCCTGTGCTTGGCACTGTGGGGGGTACAAATAAGAAGATATGGCCCTGACCTCCTGCAGGCTCCAGTCCAAGGGAGAAACAAAAGATGTGAATAGAGATATCGGGCAAGTACCAGGTGGTTCCTGGCACGCACCCAGTGAGGTATAAAGACAACAAGTCTTAGTGAATTCCAGGGGAGGCAGAGCCCCCACCAGGTAGGGTGGTCAGGGAAGGCTTCATGAAAGAAGTGGCTTTTCTTCAGGTACCTGAAGAAGAGGAAAGCTTTTACGGGTCAAAAAGGGAAATGGTGGGCTCCTAAAAGAGAATTACAAGTCCTACAGCAGTGTTCCTGAAAGGTATTTTCTGCACACCACCATCCCATTTTTATAATGTATATTATTATTTGCTTAAAGATTTTCTTGAAATCAACACATATTTAAATCTCAGTCTCTTCCTAAACTTTAATATCCTTTACATCGTGTATCTGGTGCATTAAAGTAATATTTTCCCTAATACATATTAACATATCACCCTTAAAACTTAAAAATGCTCATATCTACATCACCTAAAATCCCACCATGCTTTGTGAAGCACTGCTCTGAGTTATATCTGATGCAACCAAGGCACTCACCACAATTGACCCAAGTCTTTAGGTCTTGTTCACAGAAGGGATGGCCTCCAGTCTGTTCAAGAAGAGGTACAGCACACCTGCTGGTCCTCAGTGCCATGCTGGTCCTCAGTGCCATGCTGGTCCTCAGCGCCATGCTGGTCCTCAGTGCCATGCTGGTTCTCAGCTTCATGCTGGTCCTCAGCGCCATGCTGGTCCTCAGTGCCATGCTGGTCCTCAGCACACATGCTGGTCCTCAGCACCATGCTGGTTCTCAGCACACATGCTGGTCCTCAGCACCATGCTGGTTCTCAGCACACTTGCTGGTCCTCAGCACCATGCTGGTCCTCTGTGCCATGCTGGTCCTCAGTGCCATGCTGGTCCTCAGCTTCATGCTGGTCCTCAGCGCCATGCTGGTCCTCAGCGCACATGCTGGTCCTCAGCGCCATGCTGGTCCTCAGCACCATGCTGGTCCTCAGCGCCATGCTGGTCCTCAGTGCCATGCTGGTCCTCAGTGCCATGCTAGTTCTCAGTGCCATGCTGGTTCTCAGCACCTCAATCGGGTGACAGCAGGAGCCACACTCCACCTAGACCTGACACTGCCAAGGGGAGAACCCCAACATCAAGCCCCTGATGTCACAGTGGGGGCTCCCCTCCTGCCTCCAAGAAATGGGCTCAACTCCAAAGCTAGTGTTTTCCATTTGAACAGCCTGTTCAGCCCCGCCTGGGGCCGGCACTTTCTAGTGTGGTCATATGTCACCACTCTAAGCCAAATCTCTTGCCACACAGTGCAGACAGCTTCTGCATCACCTAGAGCACACAAAGGAATTCTAACTTAGGAGACGTCTGTGTCTTCTCCCTTCTCCCTCACCACTTATCACTCACATCCCCCGACTGCATCCATAATTTTCCCATCACTGCTGCAGCCCCAGTCCTAAAAACCTTCTCAGGGAGAGATGGGAGCATGCAAGGCCCTGTGAGGGGCCGTGTCTGGGAGAGCCCATATTACTGCCGCTTTGTGTTGGGGGTCGAGGGTGGGGAGACTGCAGGTTCTGCAGGCAGTCATTGCCTCTGGCTGAAAGCTGATGGTTTCTCCCGTTCTGCAGGCTTCAGAATGACCTAGACGTCACCACTACTCATCTGTTACAGCCAAGTGCTGGAGGCTTCCTCTGCAGGCAGGTGGGTTGGAAGACTTTGCCTTTCTATTATAGAATCTAAATTAGGCTTGTTTAATTAAGCCTATTTTCTCCTTAAGCAAGAAGTCCCTGGGCGGTGTAAACAGTTAATGTGCTCTGCTGCTAACCGAAAGGTTGGCTGTTTGAGTCCACCCAGAAGCAAATAGGAAGAAAGGCCTGGTGACCT